GCCCCCTACACACTCTGACAGGACTACAGGCCCCTTACACACACTGACAGGACTACAGAGCCCCCTACACACACTGACAGGACTACAGAGCCCCCTACACACTCTGACAGGACTACAGGCCCCCTACACACTAGAGTCCCCTACACACTACAGAGCCTCCTACACACTCTGACAGGACTACAGTGCCCTTACACACTACAGAGCCCCCTACACACTCTGACAGGACTACAGAGCCCCTAACACACTACAGAGCCCCCTACACACTCTGACAGGACTACAGAGCCCCTTACACACTACAGAGCCCCTACACACTCAGACTTTGTCTTTTCGTTCGTCAAAAGTTTCGTCTTTTTAAACCGTCGCACACAGTGTGAACGTTAGAGCTCCTCCTACAGTCAAACTCTGGAACCCACGGCGCCCCCTGCGGGTCTGTGTGACGGGTCTGTGTGACGGGGTCTGTGTGACGGGGTCTGTGTGACGGGTCTGTGTGACGGGTCTGTGTGACGGGGTCTGTGTGACGGTCTGTGTGGGGTCTGTGTGACGGGGTCTGTGTGACGGGGTCTGTGTGACGGGTCTGTGTGACGGGTCTGTGTGACGGGGTCTGTGTGACGGGTCTGTGTGACGGGGTCTGTGTGAGGGGGTCTGTGTGACGGGGTCTGTGTGACGGGTCTGTGGGTCTGTGTGACCGGGTCTGTGTGACTGGGTCTGTGTGACGGGTCTGTGACGGGGTCTGTGTGACGGGGTCTGTGTGACGGGGTCTGTGTGACGGGGTCTGTGTGACGGGTCTGTGTGACGGGGTCTGTGTGACCGGGTCTGTGTGACTGGGTCTGTGTGACGGGGTCTGTGTGACGGGGTCTGTGTGACGCCTTCATGGACACTGGGACACGTTTGGCGCGAGTGTTTTTGGAAGAGAAACAGTTTGAGAGTTTTTAGTCTTTTTAAAGTCGGACTGTGGCCTCTGTGTGTTTCTCCTCTCGCCCACCGATCGTTTTGACACATTTTATTTTATATTTTTTACATTTTTAAAGAGGAGGTATTCTGCAAAATCTATCTTCTTGAGCTTGAGTAATCTAGTGATCTCTATTTCCTCCATAAAAACGCGACACAAAACAACGCGGCGACCCGACGTTTGTGCGGGAGTTTTTTCGTGAGTGCGACGCTCTGAAGGGGGAGCGACTCAGCACAGGGAGCAGAGGGAGGAGACACTCGGCGAATCTGTCGCTTCGGGCGAATAAAACATTTTTCAAAACGATAAAAGGAACGTGCAGATCTGAGTTTAGATCTGAGTTTAGATCTGAGTTTAGATCTGAGTTTAGATCTGAGTTTAGATCTGATCCGTGTCACAGTTACAGAGTAAATACCTCCTCTTTAAGGTTTTCTCTTTTTGTTTCACTTTTCGTTAAAATTTTTCGGACACGTCTGAGTTTGTTTTATTTACTTTTCTTTTTTTATTCTTTTCTTTACACCTCCACTCCAGACCTGCTCCTGCTGCTAAAAAGACTCAAATATTTAAACCGGAGCTTAAAAAATCCATGTATCGTTCATTTGTTTTTCAAAATAAAATCAAAAATAAGAAAATGAAAAACTGAAACTTTTTTCTTCATTATTTGTCTCCAAAACCAAATGAAAATAAACAGGTAAAGATTCGTTTTTTTTTTTTCAGTTTTTGATTTTGTTTTTAAATGAAAAATGGAAAAAAACAACAACAAAAAAAACAAAAAAACGGACTAAACCAGGTCTAAACCAGGACTAAACCAGGTCTAAACCAGGACTAAACCAGGTCTAAACCAGGACTAAACCAGATCTAAACCAGGACTAAACCAGGACTAAACCAGATCTAAACCAGGACTAAACCAGGACTAAAACCATCTAAACCAGGACTAAACCAGATCTAAACTAAACCAGGACTAAACCAGGATCTAAACCAGGTCTAAACCAGGACTAAACCAGGACTAAACCAGGACTAAACCAGGACTAAACCAGGACTAAACCAGGACTAAACCAGGACTAACCAGACTAAACCAGGATAAAACTAAACCAGGACTAAACCAGACTAAACCAGGTCTAAACCAGGTCTAAACCAGACTAAACCAGATCTAAACCAGACTAAACCAGGACTAAACCAGACTAAACCAGGACTAAAGACAGACTAAACCAGGATCTAAACCAGGATCTAAACCAGGTCTAAACCAGGTCTAAACCAGGACTAAACCAGGATCTAAACCAGGACTAAACCAGGACTAAACCAGGACTAAACCAGGACTAAACCAGGACTAAACCAGGACTAAACCAGGACTAAACCAGGACTAAACCAGGACTAAACCAAGGACTAAACCAGGACTAAACCAGGACTAAACCAGGTCTAAACCAGGACTAAACCAGATCTAAACCAGACTAAACCAGGTCTAAACCAGGTCTAAACCAGGTAAACCAGGTCTAAACCAGGGTCTAAACCAGGACTAAACCAGGACTAAACCAGGTCTAAACCAGATCTAAACCAGGTCTAAACCAGACTAAACCAGACTAAACCAGACTAAACCAGGACTAAACCAGGTCTAAACCAGGACTAAACCAGGACTAAACCAGGTCTAAACCAGGACTACCAAAACCAGGGACTAAACCAGGACTAAACCAGGACTAAACCAGGACTAAACCAGGTCTAAACCAGGACTAAACCAGGACTAAACCAGGACTAAACCAGGACTAAACCAGGACTAAACCAGACTAAACCAGGTCTAAACCAGGACTAAACCAGGGACTAAACCAGGACTAAACCAGGACTAAACCAGACTAAACCAGGACTAAACCAGATCTAAACCAGGACTAAACCAGATCTAAACCAGGACTAAACCAGATCTAAACCAGGTCTAAACCAGGTCTAAACCAGGTCTAAACCAGGTCTAAACCAGGACTAAACCAGATCTAAACCAGGACTAAACCAGATCTAAACCAGGACTAAACCAGATCTAAACCAGGTCTAAACCAGGTCTAAACCAGGTGTAAACCAGGTCTAAACCAGGTCTAAACCAGGTCTAAACCAGGACTAAACCAGGACTAAACCAGATCTAAACCAGGACTAAACCAGGACTAAACCAGGACTAAACCAGAACTAAACCAGGACTAAACCAGGACTAAACCAGGTCTAAACCAGGACTAGACCAGAACTAGACCAGGACTAAACCAAGACTAAACCAGGTCTAAACCAGGACTAAACCAGATCTAAACCAGATCTAAACCAGGTCTAAACCGGGTCTAAACCGGGTCTAAACCGGGTCTAAACCAGGTCTAAACCAGGTCTAAACCAGGTCTAAACCAGGACTAGACCAGGACTAAACCAAGACTAAACCAGGACTAAACCAGGTCTAAACCAGGACTAAACCAGGACTAGACCAGGACTAGACCAGGACTAAACCAGGACTAAACCAGAACTAAACCAGGTCTAAACCAGGGACTAAACCAGGACTAATTTTGGACTTGAGAGACACAGAGGGAGAACCCCGAGCCCGTGGAGCAGAGGGTCCGCAAACTGTGATCGGGCGACGGCTCTGAGCCCGCGGTCACCAGACGGTCTAGTCCTGGTTTAGTCCTGGTTTAGTCCTGGTTCAGTCCTGGTTTAGTCCTGGTTTTAGTCTGGGTTGTCTGGTTAGTCTGGTTTAGTCCTGGTTTAGTCCTGGTTTAGTCCTGGTTTAGTCCTGGTTTAGTCCTGGTTTAGTCTGGTTTAGTCCTGGTTTAGTCCTGGTTTAGTCCTGGTTTAGTCCTGGTTTAGTCCTGGTTTAGTCCTGGTTTAGTCCTTGGTTTAGTCCTGGTTCAGTCCTGGTTTAGTCCCTGGTTTAGTCCTGGTTTAGTCCTGGTTTAGTCCTGGTTTAGTCCTGGTTTAGTCCTGGTTTAGTCCTGGTTTAGTCCTGGTTTAGTCTTGGTTTAGTCCTGGTTTAGTCCTGGTTTAGTCCTGGTTTAGTCCTGGTTTAGTCCTGGTTTAGTCCTGGTTTAGTCCTGGTTTAGTCTTGGTTTAGACCTGGTTTAGTCCTGGTTTAGTCCTGGTTTAGTCCTGGTTTAGTCCTGGTTTAGTCCGTTATCCATTTTTTTCATTTTTCATTTAAACACAACATTGAAAACTGAAAAAAACGAATCATTATCTGTTTTTTTTTTTTGTTTTTTTTTTTGGTTTTGGAGACAAAACTGTTGTTTCTTCGTTTTCTTATTTTTGGTTTTATTTTGAAAAACAAATGACACACAGATTCTTACACGCTGCTCGTTCTGTTCGTTTAGTGGATCGTTTTGGTTTGTACGAGAACAAGAACAAGAACAAGAACAAGAACATGAACAAGAACAAGAACAAGAACAAGAGAGGTTCTGAGGTTCTGAGGTTCTGAGGTTCTGAGGTTCTGGTGGTTAATGATTTGGGCTGGAGTTTTCTGCCGAGCGATTGGTCAAATAAAAACAGCTCTTCAAACTCTCTGTGTCCAAACTGCACTGACACTTTCCACCTGCAGGAGGCGCTCACCTCAAACTAGTGTTGATGCAGAGAAAAGCTCGAGGAGACGGTGCGTTTATTTAAAGTCTGTGAACCGTTTACTCTTCTGTGTTTCAATTAAGAATGAAAAAATGTGAAAACGGTTTATTTCATTTTTCCGTTTTAGTGTCAAACAAAAAAAAAACAACAGATTTCCACCTCGATTTCCAATATTTAATCTAAAGTTTATTTCAAAAAACACCCATCAAATAACTTTTTGTGTCAGAGTCAACATGGATCTAGAATAAAAACTTTTATTATAAATCTGTTTATTTTATTCTAGTTTTACAGAGTCGACTGAACGAAGTTTCTCTGCTTCTGTTTCTCGTCGTGGATCAACGGCGACTTTATAAAACATGAAAATAAAAGAAGAAACTGCAACAATTTTTCAGCTTCGTCCTTCAAATAAACCAGACAATCAAATATCAACGTTAAAATAAACACAGACTGAAACTTTAAATTAAATATTGGAAATCGAGGTCGAAATCAG